TACTGACCTGACTTGTCTTCACTCTCTCTCTCTCTGTCTCTCCCTCTTATCTTGTCTGTGGCCATACTTACATAGGCTAAATGGCTAGAGTGGAGAAAGTTTTCTATAAAGACAAGGAACCTGTCTCAAATGTTGCCCTCATCCCTTGGAGTCTTCTTCTAAGTCTACACTTCACATATGTAATGCTGCATAGCTTGCTGATTCATAAAATGACAAATGGGACACCTTATGGTCTCATGGACTTTAAAGGGGTCATATGATGCGATTTCAAGTTTTCCTTTCTCTTTGGAGTGTTACAAGCTCTTGGTGCATAAAGAAGATCTGTAAAGTTGCAAAAACTAAAGTTTCAAATCCAAAGATATATTCTTTATAAAAGTTAAGAGTCAACCACAAAAGCACTTTATTTGGCCTTCCGGAAGTAGATGCAATTAGGACTCATTGGTTAAGATTTATTTACAACAGAACAGCACAACCCAGATGTTCGAATTTGTGCAACTCATTTTATGGACGACAGTTTTTTGAACCTATAAGAGTAGGAGTCTGGCTGTGCACAAACGCTATTTCTAAAAAAAAGGGGGGGGAAAAAGGGTAAATTATGACTTTGCTATGACAATCTGGGGCTTTTGAATCAGCGACTGTAAATATGTTTTGTTACTAGTTTAAGTATTTGCTATTGACTGTTCAAATGCGAAGTTTTGCGCAACGCAGAGTAATGCGTTGTGTGTGTGAGTGTGAGGGGAACAGGGTCACATCACAGGAGAGTGAACTTTCTGTCAGAAATCATAGCACGTCAGCTGTCTTAACTGCGGCTTGTGTACTGCATCATCACTGTGTCTGTCACGCGACTCTGTTGCCCTTTCGGGCTTGAACTGATGGTAAAACTAACGACATTATTAACTGTCTTGATATTTACTTTGAAAGATGAAGCTCGCGATTATGGTAAGGGGCGTTACATTTCCGACGCGTGCTTGTGGTGTTCGGCCAATCACAATGCACTGGTTCAGCTGGCCAATCAGAGCAGACTGCACTTGTCAGAAGGAGGGGCTTTGTTGAAAACGAAGCGTTTGAGAGAGGTGGGGCATAGAGGCCCTACAAAAATGTACAGTATTTGAAAAATAATGTGTTTTTTGAACATTAAAGCATGTCAACATATTCTGTTACACCAAATAATGATCTTTAAAAGAGCATCATATGACCCCTTTAAGGCCAAAAGACCGTAGGGTGTCCTAATTGTCAATTTATGACTCAACAGGCATCCTCTTTTGTGGCCATGATACACCCTCTATGCACCCTGTTGTCCACATTAGGTACACCATTTTGAATGCCATCCATGACTCCCTACATAATATTGTCAGGTTATTTTGTGCAGGGAGTTTGACTGTAATGGACTGCTCAGTGATGAGTCAGTACCTGACTATGGTTAAATGTTTACACACCTTAGCACAGCAAAAAAGACTTTCAATTTCAACCCATCCATCAAGAACCCTGCTGCTGGGGTACTCCCATCAGTACACATTTTGAATGTCTACCTTATATGACTCACCCATTTCAGGTGTCTTGGAGTCTCTACGAGAGCAATTTGCCTATGTGCTCTGAGTTTTAAAGATATGCAAACCAAAGCTGGGACCAATGACTTCAAAGTTATGTAACAAAGGAATGAGCCTTTCCTTATGTATTTGTGATAAGTGAGCATCACTATGAGCCCTACTCACTCTGGAGGGTAGAGCACTACTTATATTGCCATATGTACAATTTTGGTAAACACTATGAACTCACATATGGCACAGACATTTTATCTTGAAATATTACTTTGAAAATAAATGTGTATAGCTGTTAAGATTATGGCAAATAAAACTTTCATGCCAAATATGGTTTCCTTTATGTCTTTAATATAAACTGATTCCAACTTGTACTCTCTCTCTATCTGGTGTTTGCAAAAAAAAAAGGTGAATAAACATCAACGTTAGCAGAGCAATGTAGTGTTGACTTGCTACAGCATCGTTTAAGGGCACAAAAAAGCTATTTGGAATTTTCCCAATATCTAGGTGAAATCTAGTCAAAAACAAGTCAGACAGAGTTTCTGTTGTAATAATTAAGCAGCTTGATTTAAATACTGCAACCAATCCAAAGGCTGTTATAAATCCTTTGCTCTTAATTTGTTTCTGCCCTGAAGAACTTTCAAATGAACTAAAGCAAGCTTTTGAACTTCAAATTGTTCAGACGCAAAGTTCAGATTAAAACTAAGAAATAAACATGCTTATTTTAAGCTAAAAAATCCTGTTATTAGACTTTGTCATTTACACAACTATATGGAACACCTAAGCATTTACAAAAAAAATGGTGCAAATGTTTTCCACTCCTGTGCTGCAACAGACAACACATTTGACAACAAAATGAGGGGAATTGGAGAAGGAGAAATTGTTTTTGGGTGAACAATTACTTTAATACTAGATTAAATTAGTCAATGTCTTCTTTAAAGTTGGTTCTGTATGCTCTTTGTTGATTTGGCAGCATGTCCAGCGTAACATTGCATCTTGTTGAAATAGATACTTATCAAATTCCATCAAAAGATACCTCTAAATTTGTTTGGGTGTCTATTGATGTAGCGGTACTCACATCGAGGCTGTGAACGGGTCAGCGTACTTTGCCCTTGATAACCCTTCCCAAGAGTGCTGTGTTGGGTGTACATTGAGTAGATAGAGCTCGCTGCCACTGTCTGGGGTTTGTGAAGGGTAGTGGGGATGGAGGTCTCTTTCCCTGCCAAAGTATCTGACGTGAAAGGACGTACTGTTGCGGCAGGTAAGGTGTCTGGCTTAGGGGGCAGAGGTTGGGGTAAGGTATTGTTGTGGGATGGAAGGGGCATTGGGGGTTTCTGATTGGCTGGTTTAGCTTTGCCAGGGAAGGTGCCAGTGCTGTAAGGAGGTTTACTGAAGGTGGACTGGCCTGGTAGAGCAGGTTTGGGCTTGCTGGGAACAGGAGGTGGAACCTTCCCGAAGGTTCTACCTGCAGACTATGATTAAAGAGCCATTAGTGTTTATTTATTACATAATATCTATACATTAGCATTGATTTATCGCCAATTCCTCAAAATTGTTAACGTCAGGCACTCAGTGCTGTACCTGGGTGTCCCTCAAGAGGTCCTCACTACTCTGGTTCTTGCGGAAGGGCAATGGTGGAGGTTTAAAATCTGCCTCAGAATCTGAAACAGATATTTAAAAAAATCTGCATATCATAGATTAATCATCACTCTTGAAGTTTAAACACTACAATGTCTTAGTGAAAGTGTCTTTTGACTGGATTAAGACATGGCAGAGGTGCCCAATCCTGTTCTTGGAGATCTATCTTCCTGCAAAGTGTCTCATGCCTGGTTCACACCTGAACCAGCTAATTAAGATCCTCAGGAACACTTGATAATTGCAGACAGGTGTGTTGGAACTGAACTCTGCAGACAGGTAGATCTCAGGAAACAGGACTTGGCACCCAAGTATAAGGATTTGTATTTTGTCTAAAAGGCGATGTGTGTAGTGGATGTTACAATACTTTTGCTTATCCCAGTTTAATGGAGACACAACTTCAAGTAAGCCATCTGTGGCTGACTTTCCAGAAGAGTGTAAACACTGTGACGCTATCAAAACATTGCTTTGTTTGTTTAAACGGTCTGACATGTCAACTTTTGGCTCAACTAATTGCATGAGTCTGAATGTGGTTCTTTAAAGGTTGGAGAAAGGTGTACCATACCTTTCTCTTGGGATCCATGGCTGGTCATGCGGGGAAGGGTGGAGGAGTGGCCATGGGTGTTGCTGTTAGTTTCTATGTTGGAAAACAAATTTGACACCTTGGAGATCTTACTTGTCAAGAATCCAATACCTGGCACATGGAAATAGAATTAGGAAAAGATGAATCAGGGGTTATTGGTGCAATTGGTGGTAAATATTGTAGATATGTACACATACCTGTGGTCGGTTTAGGGAGAGGTTTGGGAAGGGTGGCTGTACCGTCGGGATAAGCAGGTTTCATCAGAATCTCCTGTCTGGGAGGAACTGGAGGAGCCGCGGTGGTCTGGATGTATGGCCCAACAGCGGCAACCCTAGAAGGGCCGGTGGGCTGAGAGCTCTGCCCTTCAGATGGCTGCTGGAAGTGGAAGAGACAAAGAATAAGATAAATAATTTCTGTGCATCACAAACTATATTTTTCTCCAAACAGAACAAGAAATATGAACGTTATAAAGTTGCTCACAGGCAAGTTCTCTTTCTGTTGGAGAGCAGCTTTTTTCTTCCAGAGCCTCTCTCTCAGTTCAGCCACTCTTTTGTCCATGGTGGACATTTCTAAGTTCCTCTTGTTTAGATTCTCTCTCTGCTGCTGGAGTTTGGCACTTTGCTCCTGGTTCAATTTATTCCTCAGCTGCAGAAAAGAGAATGTCAGAACAAAAGAGGGACCGTTGAATTTTTTTGAGCGGGACTGCTTTTCAATTCTTTACTATTTTTTTTTTCTCAGTTTAAAAAATAGTGTATTCCTGCTATATTTTTTCTCAGATAAAAGCCACTTGGTTTACATGTTTCTTGTATAAATGCAAGACATTCATATATTTTTGTGTGTCCAAGTATCACTGTGAATGACAGGATTGTGTTACAGAAAGCTGTAGACCAACAGGAAAAAAGCTACCTGAAGCTCTTTGTACAGTCGCTCTAGTTCTCCGCTTGAGCTCGGTCCAGCTTCATGTGGGACGTCCATTTTGCCCCCACGTAACATATCCAGTTGTCGACTCAACTCCTCCACCCTGCTGACGGCTACCACCAGCTCCCGCTGCTTCTGCTGGAACAGACCATTCATCTGCTCTTTTTCTTCCAGAGCCTCTCTCTCAGTTCAGCCACTCTTTTGTCCATGGTGGACATTTCTAAGTTCCTCTTGTTTAGATTCTCTCTCTGCTGCTGGAGTTTGGCACTTTGCTCCTGGTTCAATTTATTCCTCAGCTGCAGAAAAGAGAATGTCAGAACAAAAGAGGGACCGTTGAATTTTTTTGAGCGGGACTGCTTTTCAATTCTTTACTATTTTTTTTTTCTCAGTTTAAAAAATAGTGTATTCCTGCTATATTTTTTCTCAGATAAAAGCCACTTGGTTTACATGTTTCTTGTATAAATGCAAGACATTCATATATTTTTGTGTGTCCAAATATCACTGTATGTGTGAATGACAGGATTGTGTTACAGAAAGCTGTAGACCAACAGGAAAAAAGCTACCTGAAGCTCTTTGTACAGTCGCTCTAGTTCTCCGCTTGAGCTCGGTCCAGCTTCATGTGGGACGTCCATTTTGCCCCCACGTAACATATCCAGTTGTCGACTCAACTCCTCCACCCTGCTGACGGCTACCACCAGCTCCCGCTGCTTCTGCTGGAACAGACCATTCATCTGCTCGATCTCCTCCACTACAGAGAGAGAAAAATGAGGCATATCATTCACTTGTTAATTAACTTCTCATTCCCATAAGCAAGATCGTTTGTTGTTGTCTCTGTTGATTAATTTAGTCGCTAAAGGCATTTTTAGAATTTTTCCATTAGTGGGCAAATGATCCACAACGATTTACATCTTCGTAAATGCATCTGAAGAAAGTTCTAAAACATGTTTTATAATAAAATATAGATAAATGTCTAACTCAATATACATCATAATTAAAGTAAATCTGAATTATTCAGCAGAAAACCTACATTTTTACAAATTAACTAACTTTTTATCTTTAAGTTATTATTTATATAGTCTAACAAGACTAATTTATAATAATAAAAAATATAACGAGTCTGTAATACAATAATAACAATATATTAATGATATAAAATAATGATCAACTTTAATAAACATCTTTTCAGTCAATTTAATTGTTTTTAATGAAAAGTTTACTTTAATTGTTTTACACCACTGCATTAAATAAAATAGCAAAATAGTGTTTATAAAAAAGTTTATATATATATATATATATATAAAAAAAAAGTTATTCAAAACACTTCCCCCTCATCTACCAAACAAACGAGTCACAACACCGTTTGGTGCCACTAGTAGAGCAAAAATGACAAAATTCACCTTGAACCAGTATGCTTCAAAGAAGGTCAACGTTACAGCATTTTCAGTGTTTCTAACCTACTTCCTCTCATGAATTCACAGGTCCTGACCTAGTTTACTATTACTGATGCGTTTCTGTTCCACTTGTCCTTTGAGAGCTCGAACCCTGCGCAGTTTGGCCTCCTGGTTCTCTGCGTTCTCCCGCAGCAGTCGCAGTTTCTCCTGCTCAGACACCTGCTGCTGCTGCTGCCGCTGGTCCTGCAGCTTCAGGAATCGCAGTCGCTGTTCCTGTGTGGAGGCGTCGGGTCACAATCTCACCAAAACTCATTTTCAGACATCATTGAGTTTCTGTTCCACTTGTCCTTTGAGAGCTCGAACCCTGCGCAGTTTGGCCTCCTGGTTCTCTGCGTTCTCCCGCAGCAGTCGCAGTTTCTCCTGCTCAGACACCTGCCGCTGGTCCTGCAGCTTCAGGAATCGCAGTCGCTGTTCCTGTGTGGAGGCGTCGGGTCACAATCTCACCAAAACTCATTTTCAGACATCATTGAGTTTCAGAACTATGTATCTACGGTTTTCATTCCCACTGATAATGGACAAAACGGTAATGGTTTTGATATGGAGACCATGCAGTTTTATTCAATTCAAATGACCTTAACGCAAAACCTAGTGCGAAAGCAATAACACCATTTCATGGATGACTTCAAACCTCATATTTAAAGGAAATGTTTTTTTCAACTAACAAACAGGAAATGCTGCTCTCCAATGAAAGTGGATGGGGACCAAGGACAGCCTTGGTCACCATTCATTTCCATTGTATGGAAAAAAAATGGACAATCTGCTGAATATCTCCTTTTGTGTTTAACAGAAGATAGAAAGTCATACAAGTTTCAAATGAGTAAATTACTTCAATTTTTGTGTAAAATGTCCATTTAAGTTGTAAATAAACATGAATTGGTCCTTTTTGTCATTGAATGACAGGCTGCATGGATGGGCAGGGAGGTTTTTTGCCCAGAACAGAACCATACCGCCAAACCAAACTTTATGCTAAGTATCTATCATTTTGACGATAGTGGTCCTGACAGAACTATGTATCTACGGTTTTCATTCCCACTGATAATGGACAAAACGGTAATGGTTTTGATATGGAGACCATGCAGTTTTATTCAATTCAAATGACCTTAACGCAAAACCTAGTGCGAAAGCAATAACACCATTTCATGGATGACTTCAAACCTCATATTTAAAGGAAATGTTTTTTTCAACTAACAAACAGGAAATGCTGCTCTCCAATGAAAGTGGATGGGGACCAAGGACAGCCTTGGTCACCATTCATTTCCATTGTATGGAAAAAAATGGACAATCTGCTGAATATCTCCTTTTGTGTTTAACAGAAGATAGAAAGTCATACAAGTTTCAAATGAGTAAATTACTTCAATTTTTGTGTAAAATGTCCATTTAAGTTGTAAATAAATATGAATTGGTCCTTTTTGTCATTGACGCAGCTACCTTTGTTGCCAAGAGTTGTTGTTGTGCATTGATCTGTTGTTGTTGCCGTGACGCCATCTCTTGCAACTCGCTGAGGGTGATGTCCATATGAGGAGCTGCCATCTAAAAAAAAAAAAAATTATAATGAATGGCTACGGGGATCATTTTTAAAGGTTTTAAAGGACTTCAATATGGTAAATATATGGTAAAACTTTGTTGTTGGTTCACTTATATGCAGTTATACATGTTATTCTGTTTGCTTTTTGAAATCTTTAAATGATTTCAATCACGTTAAGGCATTAATTAACAGTTTTTTTTATTATAAGATGAAAAGTGCTTTGATATGTCACAATTATTTCCAGTCCATCTTACTTTAAGTTGTGTGAGGTTTTATATATACATTTAATTACAGTGGTGGGCTGTCAGGGTCAGCCAGGTCTTCTCTGCTATAGTGGTCCTGACAGAAATTAAGCTTTAGCGTTAGTTCTGGCAGGTCACGTGAGTCAAGCTTGCATCAGCTGATTCTCAGCTGATCACATCTACCTATAGGAAAATGACACCTATCGCGGCATTTCTATATAAGCTGTATTCAGTATTATTCAGCAGCTTTTCAGCTTGCTTCGGAGCAAATTACCCTCCTCCATCCCCAGCTCCACCTTTTGCCACAGTCAGGACTTAGCTTTCTGATATTCCTTGCTAATCAGACTCCTTTATCTTGAATAAAGTGTTACACTTAAATATCATTGAGTACATTAATGATATCTGCCTTGTTCTGTTCTGTTAACCCTGGGGGGGTTATTATTGTTGCTCTCCCTGCTCATTCATGACAGGCTGCATGGATGGGCAGGGAGGTTTTTTGCCCAGAACAGAACCATACCGCCAAACCAAACTTTATGCTAAGTATCTATCATTTTGACGATAGTGGTCCTGACAGAACTATGTATCTACGGTTTTCATTCCCACTGATAATGGACAAAACGGTAATGGTTTTGATATGGAGACCATGCAGTTTTATTCAATTCAAATGACCTTAACGCAAAACCTAGTGCGAAAGCAATAACACCATTTCATGGATGACTTCAAACCTCATATTTAAAGGAAATGTTTTTTTCAACTAACAAACAGGAAATGCTGCTCTCCAATGAAAGTGGATGGGGACCAAGGACAGCCTTGGTCACCATTCATTTCCATTGTATGGAAAAAAAATGGACAATCTGCTGAATATCTCCTTTTGTGTTTAACAGAAGATAGAAAGTCATACAAGTTTCAAATGAGTAAATTACTTCAATTTTTGTGTAAAATGTCCATTTAAGTTGTAAATAAATATGAATTGGTCCTTTTTGTCATTGACGCAGCTACCTTTGTTGCCAAGAGTTGTTGTTGTGCATTGATCTGTTGTTGTTGCCGTGACGCCATCTCTTGCAACTCGCTGAGGGTGATGTCCATATGAGGAGCTGCCATCTAAAAAAAAAAAAAATTATAATGAATGGCTACGGGGAACATTTTTAAAGGTTTTAAAGGACTTCAATATGGTAAATATATGGTAAAACTTTGTTGTTGGTTCACTTATATGCAGTTATACATGTTATTCTGTTTGCTTTTTGAAATCTTTAAATGATTTCAATCACGTTAAGGCATTAATTAACAGTTTTTTTTATTATAAGATGAAAAGTGCTTTGATATGTCACAATTATTTCCAGTCCATCTTACTTTAAGTTGTGTGAGGTTTTATATATACATTTAATTACAGTGGTGGGCTGTCAGGGTCAGCCAGGTCTTCTCTGCTGGCCTAAACACTATCAGAATCACTGACTTGGTTTGAATATATTTTTTCCATGAATGTGTATTAAATTATTCCCAATAGCTTTTCTCTTGGTTGCTCTGCTTCCAGTAGTGCATGTTTATATTAGAGCTTTTGTCCAATCATGTGTTGCCAGGGTCAAAGAAATATGCCTTGAGGCCTTCAGAATCAACAGTGCGGGCACCTGTAACTTCAAATAAATGGCAATGAAACCGTTGCTTTAACCAATCAGATTTCGAGTTGGTGACACCGGGGCCATCAAGCAGGCGTACAGTAACGCCGGCATTTTCACATCTTTTGATTGGATGATCAGAGAGTGTTCTAGTAGTCAGAGCTAGCAGACAGCACACTGTAAATCATTTTTGTTGTTTTCACTACTGTATACTCAGGTTTCTTACTGTATACGCTGTGTACTTTGTTATTGTAGATTTTCAGTGCATTCTGGGAAAATATTAGCCTACTGTAAATCTAATATTTACAGTAGTACTAAATGACCGCGAAAAACAACCACACACCTCCTCGACAATGGCTCTGTGATAAACTCATCGCGAAGATGAAAAACCACTAGAGTATGGTAGGTTAACTTTTATTTTTGACTTTTTAATCGTTTTATAGTGATGTTATTTATTTGCAAGATATAAAGCTACATTAAAGTTCCGTAAGAATATCTAAGGAGCGCTCCGTTTCCGAGTCAAGCTGTGTTACCTGGCCTTTTCCTCCCGCAGCATCGCTGTCAGACCGGCGGGGAGACTCGTCGTGAAGATGAAAGTCCTAAGAGTACGTTAAACTGGCATGTATAAAACACATGTATACACTTTTCTTCATCATCTTGTATGAATTATTGTAATGTTACTTGCTCACTTTCCCAGTAAATCTGTGTTAACTAGTATTTTCCTCCCACAGCGGCGCTGGCAGACTTGCGGTGAGACTCGTGAAGACAAAAAGCTGTATGAGTATGTTAAATTGTTAGGTCAACTTTAAAACACATGCATTCGTCTTATTTGTTTTATACCAATGTTATTTGCAAGGTATAGATACATTTGAGTTAATAAATGTCTGTATCAGGGTGGACTATGTTTTTGTCATTTTATTAGGTTCATGTTGGTGCTTCAGCTAGAGATGATCTACGTGACGTAGCTGTGGTTGCAGTGAAAGGAGACTTGTTGAATTGTGTTAATTGGATTTCTTGCTTTAGTAATGGCATTCATTCTCGCTACATGAGATACCTGTCTGTGATACAATGCCCTGCATACTGCATTTCTGTATAATATTGATGGTTTCTAGCCGTGGCGTCATAATGATGGTATTAAGAGGTGGTATTAAGAGGTGGATTAATTCAGGTAGGACAACACTGAACACCTAGGTGTGAAATGCACAGGCCGCCACTGCTTAATTACATACAATACATATTTCTAATTATAAAAATAATATAAATGGTGCTGAGTAATTTACATGCAGTTATTCTGTCAATCCTCATTCCCAAAGTCTGATTCCAGTTTTTAATCATGTTAAGACATAATTTAATAATTTATTTAAATGATAAAAAAAATGCTTTGAAATGTCAAACTTCATTCCTGTCCATGTAAGAACACTATCTAGCCACTTTATGTGCACAGTTTACTGAAAATTTCCAACTCAAACCTGAGTTAGCAACAGTAACAGCAAGGGGATTAACAAATCTCTGAGGGAATTCATACTCACTCCATTTTCCATGTGCCTCTCCAACGTCCCCTTTACTGCGTTTCTCCTGGCAAGAGACTCTGGAGCTCTGTGACCTGTAGTTAGGAGACAGAATTAGCAGTGTTGGCTAAGCTAAGCACATTGTCGCTTACACTTAGGGTTAGTGATTTGTATTAAACTTTGACGGATAAGTAGTCAAGCACCGTTTGTGGTAAAAACACAAATGATACCTCAAATCATGTCGCTTTTTGAGGAGAAGTGTATATTTAGACTTTGACTCAAAGCTCAACAGTTAGCATTTAGCAAACTAGCATTTGAACACACTAACAATGAAGGCCAGGAACCTTTAGCCTGAAAAGAGTGGCTGTGCTGGGGTGAACCTCATTACATAATGATTGTTTGGCTGGGGAAAACAACTAGCGCTCAATTATCCTGCATATGACTGCCTGTGCCAGGGTCCCACTTACATAACATCAACACTGGCACCGCTAGCGCCACTTATGTGGGTTACCGGATGAACAAGTCTAAGTGCAAAACAATGCCCAAATAATATTCTTGGTCACACTCTGACACCACAGGGGTAAATAAAAAAGGTCATAATCAGGCTTACTGATTACACAAGCATATGGGTTTTACAGTGGGGGAAATATTTATTTGATCCCCTGCTGATTTTGTAAGTTTGCCCACTTACAAAGAAATGAAGGGTCTGTAATTTCATGGTAGGTTTATTTTAACGTATAGAGACAGAATACCAACCAAAAAATCTAGAAAAAACATATTATATAAAAGGTTAGAAATTGATTTGCATTTCAGTGCGTGAAATAAGTATTTGATCCCTTAAGCAAAACATGACTTAGTACTTGGTGCAGAAACCCAAGCACAGAGGTAAGACGTTTTTTGTAGTTGGTCACCAGGTTTGCACACATCTCAGGAGGGATTTTGATCCACTCCTCTTTACAGATCCTTTCTAAATCCTTAAGGTTTCTTGGCTGTCGTTTGGCAACTCGAAATTTCAGCTCCCGTCACAGATTTTATATAGGATTGAGGTCTGGAGACTGGCCAGTCCACTCCATGACCTTAATGTGCTTCTTCTTGAGCCACTCCTTTGTTGCCTTGGCGGTATGTTTCGGGTCATTGTCATGCTGGAAGACCCATCCATGACCAATCTTCAGTGTTCTGGCTGAGGGAAGGAGATTCTCGTCCAAGATTTTACAGTACATGGCCCCATCCATTTGCCCCTCAATGCGGTGAAGTCGTCCTGTACCCTTAGCAGAAAAACAGCCCCAAAGCATAATGTTTCCACCTCCGTGCTTGACTGTAGGGATGGTGTTCTTGGGGTCATAGTCAGCATTTCTCTCCCTCCAAACAGTCGAGTTAATGCCAAAGAGCTCAATTTTGGTCTCATCTGACCACAGCACACCACAGATGTTCTTTGGCAAACTTTAAATGGGCCTGTACATGTGCCTTCTTGAGCAGGGGGACCTTGCGGGCGCTGCAGGATTTCAGTCCATTGCGGGGTAGTGTGTTACCAATGTTTTGCTTGGTGACTGTGGTCCCAACTGCCTTAAGATCATTAACAAGCTCCTCCCATGTAGTTCGGGGCTGATCCCTGACCTTTCTCATGACTGTCCTTACCCCATGAGGCGAGATCTTGCACGGAGCTCCAGGCCGAGGCTGATTGATGGTTATTTTGTATTTCTTCCATTTCTGAATAATCGCACAAACAGTTGTCTCCTTCTCACCAAGCTTCTTGCTGATGGTCTTGTAGCCCATTCAAGTCTTGTGCAAATCTACAATCTTTTCTCCGACATCCTTTGACAGCTCTTTGGTCTTGCCCATGATGGTGGGAGAGGTTGGAATGGAAGATACAGATTGTGTGGACAGGTGTCTTATACACTTAACGAGCTGATATTAGGAGTAACTTCTTAAAGTGACAGGACTAATCTGTGTTCCACATGGGCACAAAACCAATCTGTGGGAGCCAGAATTCTTGCTGGTTGGTAGGGGATCAAATACTTATTTCTAGGGATGTAACGATTCACTCAACTCACGAGTCGATTCACGATTTTGATTCCACGAGTTGATTCACGATTTTGATTCCACAATTCGATTCACTTTTTTTTTACAAAATGAGATTTAAGACAAATTATAAATTAAATGTGTCCTTTTATTATTGCTTGGACAAAATGCTCCACATTTCTTTGTGAAATTCGAGTTGATTCACGATTTTGATTCCACAATTCGATTCACTTTTTTTTTACAAAATGAGATTTAAGACAAATTATAAATTAAATGTGTCCTTTTATTATTGCTTGGACAAAATGCTCCACATTTCTTTGTGAAATTTAAATATAACACTATAATAATATACTAATATAGCACTTATAGCATGTAATTACTCTTTTGCTGGTTTTGATTGCTTCTATTGTCCTCATTTGTAAGTCGTTTTGGATAAAAGCGTCTGCTAAATGACAAAATTTAAATATAATGTAAATGTAAATAACAAAACTAAATTGAAATTTTAAAACAAGCCCTAAATCAAATAAATAACACAAATAAAATAAATCTCTTCATATAAACAAAATAAGGCTTTGTCAGTGCTTTTTCCATGTAAAATTAGAGGCAACAACTGCATTTTAATCATGATCCAAACAAAGATACTGCATACATGCAACATGAGCAGTTTTTAATCTAAATTAGATTGTATAATTTCGATATTTGAAGCAAAAACAGAATGGTTTGACTTCAGTTTTGTGAAACTATACATAAAAATATCTGCATGAAAGCTGAGCTGAATGAGACGCAGATTCACTCTCTCCAGCAGGTGGCACTTAAAGCGTTTCCTTGGTTTCCGCTGTAAACAAAGCAGCGCTGCACTTATGAACTTTAATATGCATTTTTTTTTTAAGAATTCTCTTCTGCTCACCAAGGCTGCATTTATTTGATCCAAAGTACAGCAAAAACAGTAAAATGTTGAAATATTTTTTTTTCAGGATTCTTTGATGAATAGAAAGATCCAAAGATCAGCATTTATCTGAAATAAAAAGCTTTTGTAACATTATACACTATTCCATTCAGTATAATTTTTATCATTTTTTTGGGAAAGAAATTATAGAAATTAATACTTTTATTTAGCAAGGATGCTTAAAATTGATCAAAAGTGATGATAAAGGCATTTATAAATTATAATGTTACAAAAGATTCTATTTCAGATAAACAGTGTTCATATCGATATCGGAATTATATCGTATCGACCGAAATTAAGAAATATATCGTGATATCAATTTTGGCCATATCGTCCAGCCCTACCTCAGACATACATTCATATAAACTCCTACCCTAAATGAATCGCGATTCGTTTAGCATCTCAACCGATTTGAATCATCACGTATTTTAATCGATTTTCAACCGGCTCGCGGTTAATCGTTACATCCCTACTTATTTCACTCACTGAAATGCAAATAAATTTCTAACCTTTATATAATGTGCTTTTTCTGGATTTTTTGGTTGATATTCTGTTTCTATCCATTAAAATAAACCTACCATAAAAATTACAGACCCTTCGTTTCTTTGTAAGTGGGCAAACTGAAACCGCACACATGAACCGCACACATGGTTTCACATGACTGGGATGTTTAAACTTCTCGGGGGAATAGGGAGGATTCACTTCAATCATGCCGTGTAAACAAACTAGTAGAAATTGCGGCAAAGGGTATTTATGAGTTAAAAATAACACGCAAAACAACTGACGAAAAACTACTTTAAACTGTGTGAGATTTTATATGTATTATACATTTTGATACATATTTCCAATTACAAATAAATTAAGAAATAACCAAATGAAAATTCTGTGGTACGATAACCTACAGAATAATAGGAAATAAAAATATAAATAAAAAAGATCAGTTGTGTGATATTTTATATATGTATTGTACGTTTTAATACATATTTATATTGTAAAAAACAGAATAGAAAAATATGTAAAACTTCTGTGGTGCCATAACTTACACATCAATAACAAATAAACAAACAATAAAATATATAAATACATAAACAAAAAGGGGTATTTATGAGTTAGCATGCAAAACAACTGACCAAAAATGACTTGAATTAACTTAAATTAATTCAAGTTAAGTTGTTTGAGGTTTTACATATATAATATAATATAATATAATATCTAAAGAAAAAATCAGTAATAACATAACTTACACAAAAATACCAAATAAATAGTTAATTTATTAATAATTTCCAGGACCACTTTTGTCACATGAATTATGTGGTATTTAGGTGCTTGATTATGGGACATGGGAGTGGCAAAAATTAATAAGAATGAGAGAAAAATTGTGTGTATTGAATGTGTGTGTGTGTGTGGGCATATGTGTTAGAGACTGAATTCTTGGATGCATTCAGATGGAAAGTGATGACACACACACACACACACACACACACAC